GGGGGGGTGGGGGTCGTCCGGACCCTGAGATAAGGCGGGGCGGTCTCCCAAAAAATTTTTTTCGCTCCTTCGGCCCGGGGGGGCAGCCCCCCCGGGCCCCTTCCCTGGATCCGACACTGCATATCGGATAGGTGTTTATACTCTACCCGATAGCTTTTCGTGTCGGCCCGAAAAGCTATGGGGTATATAGTGAACATACTCTAAGATGTTATGACAACAACGGCGACGAAAACTTCAAAAGGGCGAAAGGTTTGATTCGCAAAACAACAATTCAGCACGTGCAGCACACTTTTTAGTGCGTTTCTTTGCCGTCACTGCACGACTACGACGTGAGATTAGTCTCACAGGGATTGTAAACAAACGGCAATTACTTTTTCTTTCTCGTTCTGAACATGGATATGATTCCTAGGAATTAATCTTCAGGGGAGTTGCTTACGTTTGACAAAATAAGTGAGGTGGAATAATTGCGTTTAGTATAGATGGACGCCAAGTCATTTTTAAAGTGACTTTTTCGCTTCCGTCACCGCACCGTCGAGTAATCTTAAAATCTCTAATAATGTTTTCCAGCGGTCAAAGTCCTCTCTCTGTCAACGTCCGCAGGCTACAGTCACCTCAACTCTTTCTAGAGCCGACACCTTAGGACTAGCAATAAGTACTTTCGTAGAGAGGTGTCTCCTTTATCAAGATACTCAATGAAAAAGATTGAACAGTAGCAGGTGCAACTGTAGGTGTTTTTTAAGGGAGTGTTCGAAATATAGTCTGTTTTTAGAGAGTTGACTTTATTTGCACGCCAAAGAAGGCGATGTCGATGGATTAATTGAATATATAACAATTATTCACCGAAGTGGAGGTGGCTAGTGGCGGAAATATCTTTGTTTGTTACGGCAGCAAACCGGGGAACCATTTTGCTCGCGACGTTTGGCGTCGCTCGCTCGGAGGAACGAGAGGTGAATAGCACTGGATATTCGGAGGTTGAGTAGCCAATCAGAGCGCGCGAAAAACAGTATCCACCATTTTATTATATACTAAACATACATACAGCTAAATCAAAAAAGGTTGCTTTGGTAATTGGGCATTGAGCATTTGAGCATATTGAACAATACAATGATTTATATGTGGGATCATCAAACAATAGTTTCCCAATATCCAAAGCCCTATTTCCAATTCCTATGGCAACCTTTATTGAATCAGCTATATATATATATATATATGTTTTAATTTAGGCCCCAGTGAAATATCCTGAGGAGTTCCAAGCCTTGGGACTGACTCATCCTCCAGGCATTCTGTTGGCTGGACCGCCAGGATGTGGAAAAACTCTCCTTGCAAAGGTGAGAGAAACACTGTGAACGTTATGTATCGAACAGGTTTGTTCGTGCCGACATTTCGACGCACTTTAGTCTAGCAAGGGCTAATATAATTGTCCTGCTATTTAAAAAAGGAGAGAAGTCCGTTATCGATTACTCAGGCCGTATTTGAAGTAGAGACAGTTTCCTGGACTCGATGATAATATGGTATGTTGAACTTAGGTGTCAAAAAGTTGTTGCAAAAAGTAGAACAAAATTCTACGTTCTGCAACAACCTTTCTCGACCTGCAACAATCTGAGTTGTTGCAAGACAGGTTTGCATGGCCAGAATTTAATTTCACGCACGCGCGGTAGCAGTGGACACGTAGAAAAAATTCCGATAGAAAACAATGAAAATTTTACAAAGAAATGTGGGATAAGTAAAATAATTTGCGATACAGCAAGTCGTGCGATATACCTGAACACTAGGTTGCGATTGAGACTGAAAGGTTGACTTATTTAGATCTTAGTTTTAACTTAAACTCCTACCTTCAAATCTCGAGCTTCCCAGAATGGAAATAAAAATACGAAGAAATTACCTGCGTCTTCCATATGATTCTATTGCAAATGGAGCACTGCCACCTCGATTAACCTCTTTTCTTCAGTAATTAATGAACCCTCTTAGGTTGCGATGAAATCTTCAAGTACAAAGTCTTATCTTTCTATCGTGAGTTTTTTTGTCCACTGAAAAAGCATATTCCTCCTTCCCACGTTTAAAGAACTTGGACTTAATTCTATTCCATATAACCCGTACTTTTAATAGTATCAGCATTTATTTATACACAATAAAATATGTAGCAGAGCTCATGTGATCGTGTTGAAACTAACAATATTTGAAAATCATTAACAAAAATCAGCACAACTATTTACAATAAAAGTTCAAAAAGCCAATAAACTATTTGCATAAAAAAGTCGACTTTTTAACGTCTTTTTAAAAGAGTCAATATTTGATATCTCCAGTGTTCATCTTTCTAGAAAGTTCCACGATGTTAGCGCTTTATAGCCGCTGGACTTACGAAGTAGTTCTTTCTTGAGGATAGGTGCCTCAAACGTAAGCTTTCTTCGAGTGATAACTGTAGATCAGTCTCATTTAGTATGGGATCACTTTCTTTTACCCTTACAACGGCTAAAAATCCCTTTTTCTTTCTTTGCTTCGTCTTTGTTTTTTTCTTTTCCTGTTCCTTCAGCTTCAGAACGTTCCTCGTGGCTCTCGTTCCTAACCTTAAGTTGTAGCTGAAGGAGTCCTAACTCTTGGCACAAGTCTTCAACAGTAGCATTGTCTTTGATGATCTCTTTCACCAGAATTTCCCGCTTTAAAACGTTAGTGTTTTCCTCTACATAGGTGCGGTCCAAATTCTCGAGATTGAGTAAGGTGGATGGCAACGTTATTGTATGGACGCATTTGCTTTCCACGCCAAACCATTCACATTCGTTGATCCCATCTAGTAAACCCACCTGATGCATACGTTGAAAGTCCATACATAAGCCTGGCATGACTTTAAGTTTGCCCTTTTGAGGTAAGGGTACTAGCATGACACCAACCCGTGCTTTTATGTCGTTCTCCTTCAAATGAGCTTTCAATAGCTCACGGTATATTAAACTCTGGTAAAGAGGTGTTTTGAAACATGTAGCTTTATCCCACCATTTCTCTGGATCTTTTAAAGCGTCGTTTGAAGATGACTTCCAGTCAATGACAAGAACTTCGAGATCTGAATCTTCTTTTCTATAAGCTAGAGCGTCCATCTGTCCACTATAGAAATCTACCTTTGATTTTCTGGTAGAATAGCCACAGATACTTACTTCTGCCTTAAAAAAATTGAACCTAAATTTTTCTTCTATCGCGTTTAACAGCTGGCCTTCTGCACCGCTTCTGCTGCCGTTTTCGATGCGCTCTGCCAAATTTTGGTGAATAATTTGTCCTTTCTCTTGTGGTGATTTTCCTTTGAAGTTTTCTCCGAGCTCTGCTTTAAGTTTGAAGATTGTTGTCTAAAATGATTCCCTCACCACTTTTCCTTTTTCTTTTACGGTTTTTTCTCTGAACTACCCACCACATGGGAAAAATAGATCAAAATTAGCAAGAGTGAATAATAACAAACATTAAAAGCCCGTTTATGCAAGCGATTTGTCGCTCGTTATATGCGTTTACTTGCTCGAAATTCCATGCGATTTATCGCAGTGATTTTCATCTGGAGAGTTACCAAAAACCTACCTTCACAAACAGTGTTTACATTAGATGCGCCTTTAATACAGGAACTTTTGCATAAAGATTGACAATCGTCATAAAGAAAAAAATCGCCCACGTAAACGGCCATGAAAGTTGTCAAATCGTTATAAATCTTACATCGGGTGCTATCAAGCGCGCTGCTGTTGAAGGCTCTTTAAAGTTGCACGTTGTTAGCCCTCTTGGTTTCAATTCGTTTTGATCCTCTTTCATTCTGCCAAGAACTTCCAGAATTCGTGCTTTATCGTAGGGATAACCTCCAGCTGCCATTGTCGATTTAAGTTCCCTTCATTTTTTTAAATATTATGTTTTAGAAAATGGTCCTCAGTAACTTATAAATGTCTGGGTACCATTTTTAGAGAGATTTGAATTGAGATTTTTAGATCCAATGATCTCAATGTACCCTATCTTTTCATCAATTGGAATCGGAACTGCATTAAGCCGTCTGAAATGAATTTTTGTTTTCGAAAAAGCAAAATATTCGTGTCATAGTCTGATAAAATTGACTCACTTCCGTATAAGCAGGTTCGTGGTCTGTTTCAGTCAATTTTTTTTCATGTATTATTCACAAGCGTTGTTTTCAAATATTGATGACCAGTCACGATCTTCAGCGGGTGCAGCTCACGGCATGACGACTAATTATGTTTTATCAAGCTCTGCTCTGTCATTAATATGCTAAAGTTTGAAGTAGGATGACAGTCGTCTTCGCTAAAAAACAAGTTTTCTGGATCTCGCCGAGCAAAACTTAAGGTGGCTCCGTCATTAATATAGGTGCATTTAGCTGTGACGAAGTTTTCGTTGTAACTTTTTCGTTTTTAACGCGATGGCTGAGAAACTTTGCAAAGAACAAAAGATATCATTGGGCAATAGTACAAAATATTCCAATTTCTTTGATGGTAAATATATTTTGATAAATTAGCGCTTAAAAGGACCCTACCGTTCAAAGAAAATCGCGTCTAGTAAAAAAATGTGCTGATATTTTTTACTAAAATTTCTGGTATCGGCTTCTATTTCGTATTTTATCTCAATACACCCCAACCTTTCTGTGGCTAATGAATAAGTTAAAATGGTTATGGTAATTTGTTTTTGTATCCCTAATTTCAGTGATGTCCTTTGGCGTTTCATAAAAAAGAAAATATAACCATCTCATATTTTTTTGTACAGTGCGTTCGAATATTGATAGCTGAAAAATACTGCTAAGACCAATTCATTTTAATTTAGTTGAATAACTCGTTTCCTTAGCAAAGTTCTGTTGGTCGGTTTTTTCCATTCATTTTTCCTGTATTATTTACAAACGTCGCTTTCAAAAATTGATGAGTTCCATCGTATAATTTGCCCTTGCTCGAGGGCAAATGTGTTATTAACATGAAAGGAAGTTATGAAAAGTTTTTAAATTTAATATGTCAGTTGTTTGATTTCCACCAAAGAAATGATTACACAACATTTTCTATTAAGCCGTAGGCGGGTGGTAGGAAAACTAAGAGCCCCTAAAGTTAGACCAAAGTTCACAACTCAGTTAGTTCGTAATTACGAAAAAAACTGTAAAATTCCGAAAATAAGCCCGTTCATGTAAACGCCCCCTAAACCTGTAACACAAAAAACCCTCCGTTAAATCGCCCCTACGAATATAAGCCCCCGCGGAGGCTTGTACTTGGAAATTGCCCTCATAAAAAAAAGTGAAACAAAGCAGAAACGGTAAATTTCCTTCCTACCATAAACTAGCCCAATCGGTTTTGAAACGCAAATTTCCCTCCGTACACAAGCCCCTCAAAAAGGGCCTTTGAAAAATATAAGCCCCAGGGCTCATATTCGGAATTTTCCGGTAACCTACTCACCAACCTGACTCTGTCTGGTGCTGCTCTTAGGGGTGTCTCAGAACTTGGTTAGCGCCCTTCAGCCAGGGTTTTTGACAGTTTTCCAATTTTTAGCTGTACGGCGGATTAGGAGAGGCGAATGTGCGCGCCTCTGGGAGAGGGGTTTGAGGAGCATTTTGCCCTTGAAAAATGGCCTGTTTATCGTATCGATCGAGAACTCCACGCACTGTAAAGTTTAGGGCTTAAATTTGGACTTGAGTTCAAAGTTCTGACGAAATACCTGTTAGAATCCTTTTTGATCTGCTTGCTCTTCCGTGTGTTTAGGTTGTCTAAAGCGTATTTTAATGCTCTGACATCTTTATAACATTTTTAACCTTCTCTACCATGTTGGTACTGAGACATAGGGAACGTTGTCATGACAATTTTGTAATTTCACATGTGAAATTACAAATTAACGCTGACATATTTTGTCAGCCATGATATACATGATATTTGACTGTCCAGCGTTGCCGAGACCTGAAACAGTTCCTTGGGCAATTATACTATCTTAAACATCCCAAGTTTATTTCAATGTTTCTTGATTCTCACTTGAAATAATGATTAAAGACCTTGTAATCTTTTTCTAACGTTGTTATCCTTTAGACGACAACTTCATGGGTTCCCTAAGGCCAGGAAAACAAAAAACAAAAACAAAGACGGGAACAAGAAGGGAACAAAGAAACCTTTTAATACTATATGGCATAAACGTACGATTTCTTTTTTCCATTATGTTCAATTTTTGTTTGGTTTAATTTGGGGTTAACATAAATTTACTGAAACCGATACGAAAAAGATTGTGCGGATGAAAAATAACATAACTTAACTGCTTTCGGAGTGAAATTTATAAGGAGGAGTGCGGACATGACCTTGATCTTATGTAAATTAAAATAGCTGCAGCAGTTTTTTTTTTTTCAAAAAAAACGATGTATACCCGCATGTCTTTTCTATTTGGTGCTAAAGTGCATTTTTACTTTATAATTTCTCTTTTACATACCGGCATTTGTAAAGTTCACTGACATGACTTGTCCATGTTGTGCGAGGTACCAATAGGTGCCAACAGTTACACCTTTTCCTCCTGTTATATTTGCCAGAATGTTTTTATTCTGTTGTTAATCCGGATGGAGAGTGGTACATATTTAAAGCTTTTAGGCAAAGTTATGCATGATGTAAATTTTTTTACTAGTGTTTGTGGCCTATAGCTCTGCTGGTAACATCGATTGGTGTTGTGGTCAAATAAATTCGCAATCTGAGAACCTGAGATTGTGAGAACCTTTGAAGTTTTTTTTCTGTTTTGTGCCTTTCATTTTCCTAAGCCCTGTTTTGTTGGCTTCTCTGATTTCTATGTTTTACGTCATCCGTGAGTGATACAGGTTCTTTCACGGAGGATAAGCCAGAATTTTTGCCCGCCCGATATGCGCTCTCGGCCCAATGCTGTTTAAAAATTCAAAATTTACATGAATAACTCTTTTGCCTTCTAGCATCACCATAATAGGCCTTTTCCGAGTTCCAAAAACTCTCGCTTTCAAGACGAGGCTAAGTGCAAAACTTCTCTTGTGAAAATGAGTTTTATTTGCACGAGAATAAAAAATGATTTTCATATCAATAGATTCGCACTTTGACTCGCTTTGAAACAGAGGCTCGGAGCAACTCGAAATTGAGTTTTTTTTTAACACACATCTCCCAGCGATTGAAGAAATCTTTTTCTGTGTTATATCTCAGTATGTAGGTGAGAGTGAGCGAGCTGTCAGGCAGGTATTTCAGAGAGCAAGAAATTCTGCACCTTGTGTGATTTTCTTTGATGAACTGGACGCGCTTTGTCCCAGGAGATCGGACAGCTCTGAGGTAAACATGCCTAACTTTCTTTAATTTTGCTAGTAGCAAAAACTTAAGTATTATTTGAATACATTTAGTATACACTATTGATCGTGTCTCGTGGGTAGAGAATACATAGCTTTAGATTCGAGGACGAGGAAGACTATGAGTACGAGATTTTCTCAATACTAAGTAGCGCACGCGAGTGAGCCTGCATCATTTTGGCGGGAAAACGTGATAGTCGTCGTCATTCTACAACGGGTTTTAGCGAGAATGTCGTAGTGGCGGGAACAAGTTATCAAATGTAAGAGGTTTTATCATTTTGCCATCGAGAGAGGGCTTAACTTCCTTCAGTATAAATAACCGTACCAACTTTTTTCGTAAAAAAAAAGTAAAATGAAGCTTTCCGGGGCCGGGCTGTCTTTTTTTAGAACACGCACAAAAACGTTAAGTTAAATCTCGTACTCGTTCTCGTCCTCAAATCTAAAGCTCTCTAATATATCGGCTAATTCTATGCGGTCATCACTATAGCCTGCGTGGCAAGCTCGGAGCAATGAAAGAGGAACGAGAGTCAAAAACCGCGTGAAAAATGGGGCGAGTGAAAGAGCGGGGAGGGAGTTGAATGGGTGGGGAATATTTTGGCTCTCGTTCTATTTCTCGCGCGGCCAAAACCGAAAATCCCGTTCCTCGGTCTTTCTTTGCTCCGAAACCAAACCGAAAAACGCTTGCTGCGCAGGCTCATATCACCACTCTTCTGCATTCATCTGTACCCAGATGCACCCCTGCATGGCGTTTGCTTAACGCTTTAGGCCCCAAATTTACACATACAAATTCTCCAGACTGATCCACATATACTTCCTCAAAGAATTAGCTGAGAGAATTTGATAAAAATCAAAGCATTTTCAATTTGATGATTATTTTATTAGTTCTCATAACCGTTTCTCTTATCAGTCATATTGTTGGGAGAATATTGATGTTGGTCACTCTTAAGACTTACAGGGTTGTGTTTGTCTTTGCATAATAGAAGAGAAGATCATGGCTAGCGTATCATTTGGTAATTTTAACAGACTGGTGATTTTTTTTTTCAAAACGCTTTGGATTTCCCGGCCGTTTTTTTTTTGGAGGGCGGGGGGGAGGTAGGGGGAGGAAGTTTGGTTCCTTTTTTGTCGTGGTTCCCTCTACAGTAGAAGCCTGGTAACTCGAACTCGGAAGTAAAACGAAAAACAGTTCGAGTTAGCGGGGAATTTGAGTTATACCCCCCTTCCGCGTGCTGTTTCACCCCGTTTTTTTTGCCTTTTTCTCTCACTACGGAGCTTGGTCCCAGGCTATCGAATGCAGAGACAAACGGCTTACTCATCTCTATCCTATAAATCGTAGATCAACATACAAAAACAAGAAGTATCCTGCGTGAATCAGACTCTTGCAAAGTCAGTGTGGATCATTATATTCTGTCGCACTCCAAAAACACGTTGCCCCACTTAATGAGAAAAAATTGACCAATACGAAGTCGCCCTCTTTATAATTTTCAGTTCTTTTTTTGATATCCAAACTAAGCAAATAGCCAGTAAAGTGTTTTTCAAATTACCCATCTTATCCCGTAATGGTACATATAATAAAAGGCTAGATTGCTTAAAATTGTATCAGTTTGCAGCTTTTGTAAAATGTCTTGTTCTTCCGATCAAAAGTTGTCGTTCTTGTTTTTTCATTTCAAGTCCAGCGTAAATGTGCGAGTGGTGAATCAGCTGTTGACTGAGATGGACGGACTAGAAGCCAGAAAACAAGTGTTCATAATGGGAGCTACCAACCGACCAGGTAGATATACAAGCCTTTACTTTTCAGGACGAAAAAGTAAGATAGAAACCTTTTCGAAGAAAT